AATTGCTTTCCTAACTCTTCACTTGAGTTTCATGGTCATTGATGACTTCAACTCCCTGTTTCATGCTTCAAGGGGCACACTGTCGGACGTTCTGCCTTTCTGTAGCAATGGCAACACAGTCCGGTCCTCAGGTGGACCTCTAGCCACAACTTGACTGCTCGACATTTCGCCTGCACGCATATTTTGTAGGACCTAAAAATGTGGTTCTCAACTCCATTGCTAAACAAAAGATGCGTAATTTGTTTTCAACTTAATTCCTACTAAATTGGAAGGCTCCTAAACTCATTGCTAATCGGTACTTAGGATTTATAAGAAACGTTTTAACTTCTCTTACCGTCTGTCAGAAAAATAAGGCAAGAAAAAACCGGAAATAGCTCATTCATCGAAGTGAAAGTGGAAGAGCTTTTCAGGCGATTTCCCATTATCAAGCCATTTACTTGACATGAATTACCTTGTCAAGAACAAAAAAGATCAAGACAGCGCTCACGTGCATCCTCTCCTCTTTTTGCCCAGACATCCATTTTTATTTATAGTCCTTTATCCTTCCAACATAACAAATGTATGCATATTTGTTTGGATAGTCAGTTAAAAAATGATTGCCTGCTGTAGGAGCACTCAAAGAGCCAAATTAATCCAGCCACCGCAGATTTTGGGAAAACCGTAGCTTTGCGAACATTAAGTTAAGAGGAAAACCTTAAATTCGAATTTTTTTAAAGCAGTACAAGTAAGGAGTGGTTGTGCTGATGGATGCCACAGTCTCCGCCCATGAGCGCTCTTCATGGAAGGTCTGGTCACCAAAGCTGGCGATTGTGAAGACGTTTGATGCAAAAAGGCAAAGGACTGATTGCAGTCTTCCATTGCCATCACGCAGACCTACGTCAGGGAGGAAGGCGATCGCCTTCGTGACGCAACCCCACAACATCAACAGGATAAAGCAGAAACTTGAATCCTCATGCAACTCCATAAAATAAACACCACCACCACCAACAACAACAACAACAGCTATTCAACACATTTTAATGCAATTTTACAGTCCTCTCTACTCCTTAATTTGCTGTCGGCAGTTCATGGGTTTCAAGCAGACACTAACTCATTAGCCTCACTAATTGGCGGAGCAGTCTAGCTAAAAAAATCTCCGAAATCATGAAATTCTTCCGCATTGTTCAACCATCGGCACTTTCAAAGGAGTCAAAGGATTGTTTAAAATTGTGTTAAAAATGGCTTTTCAGAGGCTACTCCTTGAACACTGAAAGCAGTTGCAGGTTGCAGTGCCTCTCCCTCGGCCGGATGTCGGAAGTTCGGCTTCAGCGGGTGTCTCGCCCGCCCCTCTTGTCTTGGACTGCTTTGAGGGCGTGGCCAGCATCACCATTGTTGCAGATCTCATTTAAACTTTTGATAAAATAATTTCGATCCAAGTGTTAAAACATACAGGTAAGCGTCTAAACCTTTGCAGTGCAATGATGCGTCTTTGGAGGACTTCAAGATATCAAAGGTTTAATCAAGCGTCCACACGACAACAATCTGAGAATAACAAATTTTAACAATTAAAAGACGTGATGATGGTGATACTTTCACCCACTAACAAAGCACTTATGTCTGCTTAAAAAAAACTGTCACCTTAAAATCGAGATTTGAGAACTGCGGTTTCAACCTGGAGGAGCAAAACTTCCTTAGGCTTACTTCTTCCGCGCTCCCAGACAAATAAATTGTAACAGCAGAAATGCTGATACTTTGTTCCAAGTTAGCCTACTTAATAAGGGGAAAAAATGTTTGATCCAGGCACACAATCCTGATTATAAATAAGTAGGATGTGCAGTAGCGCAGAAAATCACACAAAAATCGCTCTTTAAATGCGTTTTGGTGACAAAGTGGCCAAAGTTAGATTGAGGAGGGCCTCTGGAATAAAGAAATGCAATCGTATAATGAGACTGGCAACAGCTATTATGAAGGTAAGGTCCTTGTCCACAATCAAGCGAGTCACGAAAAATGGTGGTCAAAGTGGCTTCACACATTTTCAACGCTGTCAGTCGGTGGGACAGCGTAGAAGTGCCTCGGGCTCTATTAGGGGCCTACGTCGAACACCGATTGCTTCCTCGACTAAACGCCTTAAGGGGCGGAAAGTAGTGAGTTAGATGCACGCCATTTCTCTTTGCTGCACGAAACAACGAAAATTGGACACAATGTCAAGTCCTTATCGTCCAGTGTGCAATGGAATTGCATCTACCAAATGTTGCAGCTCTCCCAAGTAACTTCATCTTTTCGAATGACAAAGGAGAAGAGGAATGAATGCATGGAAAGTTTCACTTCAATTTGTTTCCTACCAATTTTAGCATTAGACAAGATGATGCTGATGCATAAAAATGCTTAGGTAGTCCCATATCATCTGCACGTTTGCCTTACTGCAGCAGAGGTACCCTTGAGGAGGCTTCAGTAGTTCATAAAGGTTAGTGGTCCCAGGAACTGGTATCATCTCAGTCTTAAAGATTAATCTGTTCAAGACAGCTTTGACGACCTTCGCCATTGTCTTGCATCAGTCGTTGGTATTCATTTGAAAAAAAAATCTGTCAAAAGCATTACATCGGTGGTTGAAGTTGGTGATGAAAGGAGTGAGAGATGGAGCCGTCTGATTTTGTTGTGGTCGACTTACTCCAGCCGAGGATGGCAGTATCAAAAGAAAGTAGTAGTTGTGAAGATCTCACGTACGGTGTGAGGACCACCACTGGCGTCCACCTTGACGTGATGGACGATTGAACACCCAGCGTAAAGCAAAGCACAATCAAAAGTTCATATTTATCCATCTCAAAGCGATAGTTTTGACATTGATTGTGAAAATCCTGAGCTCTTGCCACCTCTGGAGTTTAGGTGTGATGGAATGTATGTCTTGCAAACACTCAAAGGAAGTTTTGTGGAGAAACTAAAAAATCGAGTTACTGTGTTACTAACAACGAAATCTTAACATATCACTGTCGGTAGTATGGTTTGGCTTAACGCAAAAAAAACCCTTAATTGACGGGCTTCGGGTACCTGCCTTTTTCGAGGTTGCAGCAGATCCCGGGGTCCGCATGCAAGAAAGGCTTCAGTGTCCAAATCGTATGGGATACAAAAAGGACTCGCCTTTATCCAACTGCCTGTTGATGAGTTTGCAGCAAATTACCAACCACTTTATAAGGCTAAAAAAAGTTGAAGTCAGAGGATGCAGTGCTGGAGTGCAATTTTTAAACGTGGTCCACCGGAGACACACCCATCCGACCGCATTTTAGGGCGGAAAAATAAATTAAACAACCAATGAGATGGTTACAGCCCTCATCGTAAATCTTTCATACAAAAGTTTACTTGAGTTGAGGATCAGCATTTGCCGACCTATCTTTTTCATCAACTGCCCCACGGAAAGTATCTCTGCTTAGTAGTTTCAAGGCACACACCTGAAGCCGCACAAATTTGAATCCAAGAGAGGCGAGGCAGTTTTAATGCTGTAAGCATTGTGACCGCGCCCCATTTGTGTTGGGTAAATGCATGACTTAAGTAAGGCCCAGTCCCCTCACCAACAAGGAGTGCTGCATGAATAGAACAAAGGGGAAAATAATATGCCCACCTTCACCTTGGTTACTTGAACATTTCAGTCAAGACAAGGAAGTGGCCAACTTAAGCACCAGTATTGCTAAAGTCTATTCCCAATGACTTCACTGCTAGTAATCGGTGAGAGGTCGCTATGAAAGCGTAAATCCCTGATTAAAATTGTGTCACTATCTGTGACACTACATCTTTGTGGTTTTACTTCTTCGCACCTCTCAAAGCTTGATGCTGCTATTTGAAGTTCATTCACCTACTTTCAAGCAGCCCTAAATTGTCATCAGTACCGTTCATTTTAGAATAGCCTCATCGCACCCCTTCCATCCCCTCAGTAGGCAAAACATGATTCCCTAGTTGACACTTGCTGCTTTCCATCTCAATCTAACCGATCTATTGTGAACGATTTGCAGCAGATTTGGTGGACTGAACCTTACATTGTGTGATATTAAACGAGCTTAAAAGAACTTTTTTATATTAAAGAATATACTACTGAATTTTCAATGTTAGTAGGAATGAAACGATGTTAGTATATTCCCATTTTGGTGCTTTGGGACTATTTGTGTACGCGACAATAGAGAGTCAAGATTTAGTCGTACCGCAAAAGTTCTTCAAAAAAATCCAATTATTATGAACGGAATGCTGAGGGAAACCCGATTATTTGTTTTGGGAAATCTAACACCAGTCAGAAGCATCCGTCCACGTCTGTTCTGAGGAGCGGATCAAAATACTCGAGGCACGGTCGAAAGAAAGCAGTATTTACAGCCGCCATCTCTTGCGCATGCGCGAAGGTGGCGTTGGAAAGTGGACAACGCTTATGCCGAGGAGCACGTGGGGACTAGCTTAAGCGGCAACGCCGTGGTGCCGTATATACTCAAACGGAAGAGTAATAAAAAAGCTTAATTTCATCCCACTTAGGAATTGCAATTTTTATAGCCATGACTTGGATAACATTTACTCATCCATTTTACATTACCCGTGCCTTAGTGAGTAAGCATTTCAAATAATAATGAGGAAAACACCTCATAGCTTCATTAAGCCTCTTACCCTTCTCTCCTCACGCTCTTGTATACGCATGCATTTTTGTAAGCTTTGTCTTTAAAACGGCAATAACTTCGCTTAAAATAAGTCGCTGCACTACACCGCTGGTGATTAAGAGCAGGAGGAGTGACTTGGACATCCGACCTTTATATAAGCACGTTTAGTGGTACTAAATGCATTACCTACAATGCCGACTTTCAGCAGGAAATTAAAAGAGACGTTTCTTTAGTACTTAAAGCGGTCTCAGGATGCCAGTTAGCGCACCTTCATGTCATTGTCTTGGCACTTTTGCGCTATGCTAGCGTCAATATTAAAACAGAGTGCAATTCGCCGTCTTGTCAACTTCTGCTCCGGTGGTAAAGTGTCATTAATGCACATTTATGTTGCACAGTTTAATGCAAAAATGCAATGTTACTCACTAGAAAATTATTCTGTTCTTTTTGAGGCAATCCAATGGAACATTGGGATGGGGATAGTGCCTCCGTCGGCACGCCATCATCAGAGACTGAACCATCAACGCCAAGATTAGATACTTCCACACTATCCAACTGGTGAAAACGCGTTGCCACACTTAGGGCAACCTTTCGATTCTCATCTAGACATTTCGCTTTTTTAACGTTTCCATTGTCTGCGTGAGCGCTCCACCACAACAGGTCAACGCAGTTATTGGCTAGAAGTTTCTTGTTCTTATTGACTGCTACCCGAAGCCCAAGACTGAGTTCATTCCCGATTGGATATGCATATGCGGTCCAATAGGTATTTACAGGATCGAAGGGAACTGTCGAGCAGTATAGCGGAGACGGAGGCCTCAGAAGTACTAGTTCTCGTGGAGTGAGATGTCTCAGTCGTACGGATTTAAGCTTTACATGCAAAATGGGATTGAAAAACTTGAAAGACACTTTCTTTGCAATGTGAGATGCAATTTGCTCCCGCACCAGAGTTGACACAGCATTTGCTTCATTTTGTGGAAGCTCCTCCATCAAGGACATTCCACAGTCGGGATCGAGAAGAAATTGCAACCGTCGACCCGACGTCTGGGACTCAATTTCACACGCGAATTCAATAATTGAGAGGTGTCGACCAGATACTTCAGACGGACTTTTGCGCCCTCTACGACGAAAAATGTAGAGACTGACTTTTTTCACTTCCTTGTCTGGACCAAATATGCTGGCGTGAGATATCGCCACTCCAAGATGCCAAGGTTCGCGACTTGCGTTAAAAGGACCAGACTCAAATAAAATTGGACCGTGCTCTGCATCCTCAGCATTGTATCTGTCCACGTAATTGTTGCAGAGGAAGTGAATTAGCTCCTCGGTGCTGTACAATTGGACTAGAAGATCTACTCTTGGGCTGGAAAAATCCACCTCAAACAAAAAAGTGTTATCGTCCGAGAGGAACTTATCACCACATAGATAGGACAATTCGATTAACGTTTTGCACCCATGCTTTCGACCATCTCGAGTGAAGAGGACCTGCCGCTGCGAAAAATGCTGATTCTTACTAAAATGTTCTCTATTGAGTATTATAAAGGCAAAATCCAATCGCAATTCAAAGTCAGTGGGCGACTTTGTAGGTAGCAATTCGAGAAACGCTCCGATATGCATTTTGGTCCTCATTGTCCGTAGTCGCCATTTGTAACCCAGGAAGGTGAATCTGACTGAATCTAATTCTTTCACGAATCCTCTCACGACACTGGAGGGGATCAAGAAAATTGACACAAAAGACCTGTTTTCAGGACAATAAGAGCATCTTAGTAGCGGGGCCTCTGAGTAATTTGGTGAAGAGGGGCTGAGCATTTTGAACTTCTCCACACCATGTGGATGAAATTCATCGCTGTCACGCTAAAAGACTGATTGGACAGAAGCACTGACCAATCGCAGACCTCTGGATGAGCGCGGAAGTTGAACTAAATTTCGTTGTTTGTAGCATTTTATGGCGGATGTGTGCGGTTGCGCTTTTTTATGCATTCTAACTGAACACAAAGGATCAAGATATTCCACATTTATTTTATAAGGCGATTACAAAAGCTAAAATTTGAAATGTTTCCCAAATTGGTGAAATCGGACTGGGGGCTCTTATGCCGACAGTCACAAAATGATACCTGCTCTGGTTAACTTCGTGCGCAGCTCATCGCATTATAAGAGGACGTTTTGATGGCTTGTTGCTGTATTTTCGTATACAGGCGGTGGAAACTGTTGTAGCATACCGGTATCAACATTATTCTGTTAAAATTATTAGGTGTGTAGAAAAGAAATATTTAATTGAAGCAGTGTGAATAAGGACAAATCAGTATGGTGTGTGCTTGGTTAAGTCTTTCTGCTTCACCTCTAGTCATTCGAGTGACAGTGACTGTTTCGTAGCCTCCCAAATTTTCCGAAAACGAAATTAGGCAGAAGAGTTCAAAGGCAACTGACGCGGCCCCAAAGGTCAGGCTTACCGAGTGAGGGTGGCGCGAATGTAGGCATCTTGGATGGCCCAGTGTCGAGACAAACTCAACATCCTGTAACATTTTTACAGTGCATAGCTTTCAAATGAAGTGATTGCTATCTTTTTTAAAGCTGCATTCGTTTCATCACACAATAAGACATTGAAATCTGAATGACCTGCTAATCTCCCACATCTTTTATTCGAAGTTCGCAGTCTTGTCTTTCCATCTTTGAAAACGAATTTTGTTCTACCTATTGACGTAGCGCGTTTCTGTAGGTTGTTCGCTCATGGCTTTGAGGAAAATTTGTCATCTTCCCCAATTGGCAGGGAAAATGCGACTGTCCAAATAGTCAAGCTGAATGTGAAAGACGCTTCGTAACTTCATTTTGCTACACTTATGTTACTGTCATTAGTTTTTTAAACTACTTTTGACTAAGTCATAACGATACCTTGAATTGGTGAACTTGCAACCACTGACTTGAAGAAGGCCGAGATTTTATGGCAATTCATTCCATTCATGTTTGAGTGTGGAGGCCTTCGCAGGGATCACAAGTTATGCGTTGTAGTTCACTTGCTCTTCAAAATACTTTCAGTCCAGCAGCTATAAATTCACAAGGCAGTTATGATCTTTTTATCTTTTTCGAAAGATGCTTTGTGGCTAAACGTTATTCTCAGTCTTACGCTCCATCATGGAAAAAGCGCTGCTTCATGTTTACACCTTTCAACTGTCTAAAGCTACAACATTTGGCACGGCAGGGTATGTGCTGACCTCTGTCATTGTTCCACTGTTAATTTTGTGGAAGCACTTTTGCAATTTCATTTTCATGCTGGAAACATCTGGCATTAAAATGCCTTCACGGAAGTGCGATTTAACCACCCGTCAGCAGAGCAAGATGGAAGCCCCAAAGGCTCAGAGACCCAACATCAAAGTGATAAAATCTCTCCCTCCGCATATAAAGCAATGCAACCAAAGATTGAATCATCATTGGGAGACTTAAGCTTTACATTAACAGTAAAAAAAACTCGAACCAGAGGACGGGGATTTCGGGTCACGAACAACTTTGCTTCTGCCACTAGAAGAACGACATATAGAGATGCAGTTGGACCTTCCAGAGTCAGTTTTTCCCCAAGGCCTAAGAGTTGTTCGACTCAGTAGGTGCACTTCAGCTTTAGTTTACTTGGGTGTGGTGTCTAAAGCAGGCGAATGAACCGCTTCTCCACCGCTTTAATGCATCAGCTTGCATTTTGTTCAGTCTACAATGCAACATTTTAATTGGAAACACTTTGCGTGCAGTGAGAAAAAATAAACGGATGCTTATCAACTCCTCCTTTTCGCGCCCATTTTTCGAAGGGTCACTGACCCACCGAATTGGCACGGAGTGTATGCGTCCCAGACGGCGTGATTTGTGCCATGGCTTTACTGAGTAACAGCTAGGGGCTAAATTATTTTGAATTTTCTAATTCCCTAAACAAATGAGGAGGCTGAGGCTAGAGTCAAGTAGTACACTTTCCATGAAATGTAATATTGAGCAGAAGTTTTTATTGCCAATCTTTATGCTTCCTTCGAGGTCTTTCAGTTTTAGTCTCTAATCATAAGGCAACTCTAGCAGATGTGGCGAGAGATAATCAGAAGCTTGAGATTTAATGGTGAAGAATAAAACAACGAGTATGGCCAAAACTGTTTTTTCCTGGAAGCGCAGTAACGGAGTTACCATATGGCTTGCATGTTTGTCAAATGTCAAACGCTTCCAGTCGGCGGCGACATGAAATTCATGTAACGCCGTGTTTTATGGTTGCAAAAGGGGACCACCACCGATCTACCTATCGGGATGAATCTGATGAGGTTAGATTCCGAAAAAAGGTGACATATTGTGCATTGTGCTGAACCATCAGTACAGGTTTATTTAAGTAGTGTGTGCAAAAGAGCGTTTGTTTAAGACCAAGGTATTTCCACTCCTTGGGGAGGTGGGTTTAAATCTCTCAGTGGGTGTCAGGGCTGCTAAGTGTCTACGCCTTGATCACGCAATTGTAACTGTTGCGTCTTCTCACGTCCCACTTTAATCGGTGTGGTAAGCAATTAATTTTTTCCCTGTGGGTCTCAATTTTGGCACTTCCACTCGTTTACAATACCATTAAGTCAATGAAGCACTCAAGTGATTACGCCTGGCAAATTGTCTTCAAAGCCAAAAGTGCTTCGATGATGGTCTCTTGTTTTGGCCCTTCAGTGGGCAAAAGCAGTCACAAGTGGGCTCGAGACTAGTTTTTTCACAGCACTTTCATATGAATAAATTTTATTGCTTGGTGGATGTAATTAAGGAAGTTATTATTTGCTGGGAGAGGGAATGTACTGTAGCTCAGCGGAAGTATGAGGACTAATTCTCCAACGCCTGCGTACTCAAAGTGAAGACCGTAGCGCTCAACCCGCTTGACCTTCCATCTCAGGTATCACAATGCAGTCGAGTTGACAGCGTAGGAGCAATGTTTGTATTCACTTGAGGAGATAGTTAATAAGAGGATCTCTGATCACATGTGACAACTCCATCACGTCTGAATTCTTGCACCGATCCAAAATTTAAGTCAGGGAAAAAGGGAATGGACCAGCCACCACAATCGCCCATCAAAGGTCGTGAAAACATTATTCAAAAAGGAGTAATGCTTAACGCATCTTGCTGGGGCGGATTCTGACCATCCAGCAGGATGTGGAATCACCATCACGGTGTCGTCGCTCCAGTGGTCAGAGGAAATTTTCGCAACTCATATTTTCAGCAATGTACATTAAAGTAGTTGTTCCTCAGTACTGCCAAAGGGGTGCTTCGAGTCATCCCCGAAGCTGAGGAGCTAACGATATCCCGTCATTGAGTTAATTTCGACCAGAGGGAGCTGCCGTGAGCGTCAGCAAGTGAATGCCCAAAAAAGCTTTTTAACTTACCTCATTTGGCTAAGAATTTGAGCTTGCCTGTGTGCAACAGGCTCTGGGGGATTTCACCTGCTTTGCACTTACTATCACAACTTTTTTTAGCATTTGATGGTGCTATTGTAAAATGTCATGGATTTGATGGGATGGGGCGCATTTTATTAAACGCTCAGTTCTCACCTCTCCGCCGACTCGTGGCAAAGAGTGTTGCAAAGCAATGCTGTATTCTTTCATCAAGTTGCAACGGAGTGACGTAATTTTGAGTTTTAGAGCACTTTGCCTTAAGCTTACTCAAAATTCAGTAAAAAAAATGGCATAACCGCGACCGATGCTTGCGTGAGGAGGTCAGAAATTTGGCAGATTTTGTCCCACCCTTGATGTTGCATAAAGGCAACCCCTCGGAAGGTAGTAACAAAGGCGGCTGTACTGCATCTCTCACTTCAGACCAGTGACGGGCATCCGCGACAGTTCGCACATTTCTCTTCTCACCAATGCGATTACCAGGGCAGGTCGAACTCTACTTTCAAGATGGCTACCATAGTTTGCTCATGGATGTTTTCTCTTACATCACCGTCTTACACTGTGAAGGTCGAAAGGGAGACAGACTGGATAACGCCCAAGAGACTATGCAACGTCCCAACTGTTTACCCATCTCTCCATTTTAATTGCTCGAACATCTAAGATTCCGCCTTCGTATCTTCATTGGACGGCTCCACCCCTGGACCACGGCAGTAGCCTTCCAGTTCTCCTCCACATCAGACACGCATCCTCAGATCCGACAATTTGGGACTGGCGCTGGACATTGCATGTGAATGGAAAGTTAACTTACCATTGATATTTTAGCGACCACAACCTATTCCGATCCCCCTAACACCAGATTGAGCATCTTTTGGAGATTACCATTAGCCTTATGTTTTACCAACTCAGTTGAAGGAATCTACAGTCCCTGTAAATCATCCTTTCCACTCTTCCAATTGAACACGAATAATTCACACTGTCATAAATGAACCATTCACTTCTTTTTTGTTTCCACTAAATTATTAACGCCCTATTTCAATGTTTAATTCATCAACTGCGTCTGTTAGCAGGTCCGTCTGCGCATTAATCAAGGCCTCAGACTAAAATAAATCAGGTTGGTGTAGGAATTTCATTAATTTTCCGTTGCAATGAGGGCTGAAAAATGGCACAAACTTTTGAGCCCTCACCCCTAGGCAGAGTCCTCGGACCACATGAACATTTTTTAGTCAGCTCTGTTTTACTGTCGACTCATTGAAAGTTTGTAATTGTGTTTCCAGGATGGTGTCTTGCAATGGGCACCGAATTGGGAGGGTAAGTGGATAGGTTACGTAAATCAGTGGTCCTCGGAGTGGTTCAACCGGATGGAGCAGTTGAAAGGTGGGAAAAGTTGGGTGACTTCTGCTAGCAAAGGTTCTCAAAGGCAGTCAAGGTATTGAATGAATAGTTTTCCATGGATTAGGAGCATCGGAGTTAGTTAATTCTCTTCCTGTGACCTTGCACAAAAAGCAGAAAGTCAGTTCCTGTCAGAAGGCAGATGGCCTGGTTGGAAGATATGAAATAACTTGAAATAGCTGAAAAATTTTGCCGACTTACAATATTTGAATTCAATGATAAAAGTGTACATACAAAAGAGCAACTTTTATAACCTCTAAGGCAAGAGTGAGTGGCATTCAACACAGAATTGCTGCTGCCTTAATTGCCCTACCATTGTAACAGCAGCAGTGGTCTCGTCCGAACGTGGGTTATAGCTTAGAGCGTCCCATCACAAGCCTGGCCTAAGCCCAAAATGCGGTTCCCAAGAGCCACACTGAATGAGTTAAGCAAGAAAAGAAGGTATCTGAATCATTTACGCAGAGAGGACACGACTCTGTTAGTTAATTTTACACTGTAACCAATGAAAGGGAAAATTTGCTCTCCGATCCCACAATCCTCCCCACTACATGGAACACTGAAAGTGTACTTTACTGCGCTATGTAAATTTGGAAGGAGAAGCAGAAATACACGCAATGACAGGTTACTAGAGCATTTAAAACCTCTAGAGATTTTTCATTTCTTCGCAAAACACGCAATCGTAAAGCCACTTCTCACATTTTATTGCCTCATGGCACAAAACACTGCAAATGTACTACTTAGTGGTAATTAATGAAAGCCACAAAATCTCTCCAGTGACAGGAAATTCGAAGATGCCACCCCTTCACGTCGTGCCACTGGGGTTGTGCGTGGCTGAAGGCATTTGATTGTAACCACCAGCACCTTGACAATAGGAGCGAAAATTGGGAGCTCTAAGTTGTTCAGTTCATAGAACCTACTTTTGCTTTGTTCACAGCCTCATAGCAGCTTCGAAGTGCACGATCATTGCGATGCCCAGTGTGCATTTCCTTACTTTGTGATTATGCTTATACCGAAGCCATTCAACTCTTCTGCACGATCTTGCATCGGCACACTCCTCCTTCCCGTGTTGTGTAAGGAAAGGTAACAAAAGAATGCCTGCTTTCAAGGGAACCTGTTATTTTAAAAGCCGCCTCACGCAAGTGCATTGTAATTAAGGCACGCCTCCTTCAATTTTTGGGGGCTAACAAAGCAAGCAGTATATTATTCCTTGAATGACAAAATGGTACAAAATATAAAAAAAAAATATCAAAAAGGAAATGAGGACAAGGTGGAATGCCGCATACTTCTCGACTGTACTCTAAGGGTGGAGAATAATGATGACACCAGCATGTCTCAAGACCAAGACACAGTCCTAAGCCAAACAAATCTCCCTCAATCAAACACCAAAAGTGACGACGATGCAATACTTGGGGATGGGACTCTTTAACTCCAAGAAACATCTTCGCTTCAGCCATAATTACGCCTTCTTAAGCATCATCTGTCCCTACGGCAAAGGCATGCAAAGTGTGATCAATTGGAAAGGTCATTGCCCTAAAGTAAAGTAAAAATGTCAATTCCAACGCAAATGACCAAAAGTCTAACTAAGGCCGTTGAGAGTGAAACGAGTAAGTGAGTTAGCTAATGGGAAGTAAGCTCTTAGGAAGATCAGTTAATTTTAAAAGAAGCATCTTTGAAAGGGAAGACCACCAACCGATCCTCGCTTTGTAGCGTTTGTCACTAATATCGTGCAAGTATCACGCATGCATAATTTCAATTTGTATTTTCCTTCATCCTTTTCGCTTCAGTGAAGGTTGTATCCCATGAAAAGCGCCATGAACTTACTCATGTGTGAATTCTTTTAACCTGTTAAAAGTGTTGAACAATTATAAGCCAAAGGAGATCAAAGGTACTGCATTCACACAGACATGCAGACTTGTAACGCCGTAGACGCCTTCCGGTGTACAATCTTGTACCATGGATAACACTCCAGTGCTGTCTGCGAGGCTAAAAATGGATAGAGTTCTTTTATGAGCGAACATGGGTAATCAAAACCAGCTGTGTCATGCCAATCTCCCCACAGCAGTGTTTATGTTGAAGGGATACCGCGAACTAACAACACTTGCCTTGGGTGACCACGCACTTTACTGGCAAAAATTTGTTGCTTAACGGGGGTTAAATGCCGTCCACACAAAACCTCCTCCCAAAAAGTTTCCTATAGCAGAGTATACGCTTTTACTTCATCTCACTCCTATGTCAAAAAAAATCACACGATACTTCAAGGCTGGTCGAAAAAATCCTTTTCTTATTGTTTGGCAAAGTTAGGCATTCACAAATTTCATTTCGAGAGACCCAGACATGCGGTCAACATGGATTTTCTGAGATGAAACAACTTTTGCCTGGACTAAACATACACCTAAAAAGTAATAGAACCAAGTGAAGAGCTAGCTTGACAGGAAGATTAAAGCATACGACATGGAGATCTGGGCAGAGAAGATCCACCGACATTCAACGCCTCTCAGGGGTTCAAATTTAACCACTAAGGGAGTGGAATAACACTGAATCATTAAATGCATAATTGCGAACTTATGAAAACTTAACTGTGGTAAGGCAATCCCGAGTAAATGATGTTTGTGCTTTGATGCGATCTGCACAAACACACTCACATCTAAGCAATAAATGAACACATAAATGGATTTGAATTGGACCAGATACGCTATAGACATGCAAAATTGCATCATTTACGGTCAGAATAATTAAAAAGTGCGACAAAAAATTACAAGAGTTTAAAGGATTTTGACCGCTTTAGTGGCAGTTTGTCAACCACATATTGTATACCACTCAAATAATAAACATGGTCATTGCCAATCTGAATCAACCAAATATAAGGTTTAATTGAGCGGAAATGAAAACGAACTGACGGGATGAGGATGCCTTCACAAGCTTCCAAAGTCCAAAAGCAAATAGTAGCTACCTCCCATAGTTGCATAAATTTCAGATATTTGGACAGTTCACTTTCTGTTAATAAAAAATCCGACTACGCACCTTTGAAATTACTTACCTCGGTAGTAGGATCCTCGCCAATTTCACATCCCAACGCTCTATTTACGTTAGTTATAAACCAAAAATGTTTTTATCTTGTACTAAAAAACTATCAGTAGAAATGTTTGGTCAATTGTATTTGACGGGGGAGAAAGGCTAGCACCATGAAGACAACGATATTTCGCAAAAAGCACGTTAATTAGACATTTTTATTACGACTCTTTGTTACGCAAATGATATTCTAGCCAGCCCAAAACCGGCATGCATACGAACTTAGACCCGAACTAGGGGAAAACCATTGAATACAGAAAGCCAGTAGAGTGCTGAAACCTCCCATGAACTAAGCATAAGACAGATACGTAGAATGAGGATTGAATGAAAATAGGATCGGAGAGAAATAGCATCCATTTCCGAAGACAACCGAAAAGGATTCCTCACTTAAGAACATTGACTTTAACCCCCTTTCGATGTAAAACAAGCTAAACGATCGATTTAACATATCTCAAACCGCAAAATAGGGGAGAAGCCATGCAGCACCTTAGTTGAAAACCTTAAGCTTGAACTATCAAGGCGATAAGGAATGAAAGTCCCTTTAAGCAATAAAACAGATCCCATAAAGGAGTTCCAACGCTGAAATGGTGTACAGCACGCACCCATTATGCGCAGCAAAGTCCGAGGACAAACCATAGCATGTCACCAAAGTGCTCAAATTTAACCTCGCTATGAGAGCCAGCCTGGCAAGAGAGATATCCAAGTAGTACAGGAAACAACTACTCTATTATATCTGTTGATGTGGCTGAAAAATACAGCAGTCAACAAAAACGTCGTAAAACGCATGACCAGTGCACAGCGGCTGCCCTAGTGTTCCGCATCAGACTTGGGTTCACCGTAACGTGCTTTCCATCTCTCAATGAATTCCGCCTTCCTCTTCTCGCGAAGGGCAAAGTAGTCAGGATATTGCAGTTTTTCCAAAGGGTGCCAGAAATCCAGTAACTAACGAGACGCTTTAGACTAATACTAAGTTTACGTAATCTGGTCTGTGGAAATCATAGCGTTCGTAGGCAACGCCTCCAGGAGAGGTAGGATCTAGATCAAACTGTTGAATGAATCTAGTACGTTACATAGAAATGGAAATGCGGCTTTGTTCTTCTGAAGCTCCTTCCATCCGTCTTCCAAAAGCTTTTTTGCTTTCACGGGGTCCTTAACATCCTTGTTCCGGTCAAATCTGGCACGAAGAAGAACAGCCTCGAACCTATATTTAAGACTACACACCTCACGATAAAGGACACAGATGCAGAAATTACTGATCCAACTTTTGGGCTTTGATGTTATAAAGAGCGGCTTTATACAGGTCACATACTTTCTGGGCATGTGGGACGAGCTTCGTTCTCAAATAGGCCGGAGGGACAGGCTTCGCCATATTTTGTAGTGCGCATTTCATGCAACACTTATCCAAACAAAAATTATGTTACTTTTATTAATGAAATGGATCGACCTACTTGTTTAACTATGCAAAACTTAATTAGCATGTTTACATAAAATATTTGCTAACATTTAACAATAAACAGCGTTCCATCACAAATGTAAAAGACACGGATACATTCTTGGTGAGTACAAAATTAAAGTAAATTAGAAGTAAATTAAAGTAAGCCCTTGAAAAGTTCGGAGCCTTAAGCAATGTAAATTTTAGCACTAAAGCAACCTATGTCTTTGTAAAGTATTTAACAATGACCACTTCTTTAAGCCAGCATACTTGAATATTTCCTGCTTGCTGAGCACATATAGTTTGTTTTCCTACTCTGACCTTTCACCTTAACTTAAGTCTCTATACGCTAGATTTGTTAAATTGGTTATTAATTTGCGCATTGGCAAAGGATGGCTGGTGATTTTGAATGTTTCTTCAGTTCGCTCGCATCGCCTATCAACATTAACAACATCTAAAACTACTTATCTCATTACCTATTTGCAATGCTATGGTTGCTTGTTTGGCCCTAATGGGAACTAGCATAACGTGGAGGCTTAACTACCTATAGGACGTACTAAGGCAGGGCATAGGTCGCACGCTGACTGTTATAAAAGCGAAGACCCCCAAAGCATCAAAAATAAGATGCGAGACCTTTCTAAAACACATCAGCAATTTGGGTACGTGTAGTTGGTAATTATCGCTAATCATGTCACTCACTCGAGAACATAGGTGAAAGTCACCCTCGATTTTGGAACAAAGTGACCGTGAAATTAGATCTCACGATGAGTCATGGCTTTTTTGATTGTCTACATTATTGACTGTGTACTTTTCCTACTCTTTCAGCAGCGCAATCTAAATCCCCACAAAACCGCACTGTGCCAATTTATCAGTGGATGGTAGGCGGTTGCCATGCTGCTCAAATAAAGTGGCTTCATTCGTCAATGAAATTGAGCTCTGCATAAGAGATAGTAGAGTCCTATTGTAACAGCAGCTGATTGTCGTTAACGAGGCTGAAGAAATCATACTTATTTGAGACCTTCGAGAGTTCTCCACAACTAGCAAGTCCAAACCATTTTCAATCTAGTCAAAAATCTCACCACACTTTAGGACTTGGAGAGTCAAATACAAATATTTTTCTGATAATCGGTTATGAGATTGGTTTTGGTTACTGGACTCTTCACTTTCCTTCGCGATGTCCGACCGGTTTGAAGAAGTTCACGGGACAGAGTAGCGTGAAGAAGATTTTGCAAAGAAGTCGCATTTCTCTTCCCTATACTTGCTGCCTATACTTCAGGACCTCGTCTTTGGTAATTTAGGATTGGCGTCAACTTATTTTCCCAAAAGTAAACGTGCTTCGAAGGTCACTTGTTACCAGTACACCTTTAAGGAGAGCTTTATTTGTCAGTGACAATGAAAAGTTGACCGGTTGTAAAAAATTGCATTGGTGAAAAATACAGAAGCCCATAGTTTAATGCAACTTTTATTTTTGAATAGAGAAATTCACTGATTTTGTAATTTGCTTTGACTACATTCAATTCGAGCAAAATTTGACTTGTTTGCAATGCTGTTTGGTTGGTTTTGCACCTCCACTAATGCAAATCCTGGGGAAGCTTATCAAAGCAAATGGGATTAGCAGCTTGAGGCTCTCCCAAAGGTGGTAGGAAAAGTCACATTTGAGATGAATATGAGCATACAAAAGGGTTGCGAGACTTTTGGTATGACCAAGAGATGAGTTTGCCAAAGAAAATGTGGTGTAGGCCCTAAGTACTTCCTTTACTAAAACCCAGGGCGAACTTAACAAAAAAGCTTGTTTTATCGGTCATTTTCTTTCCTGATGACATGGATGAGGTACTTGCCTACACAGTCAATGGTCTTTTTGGCATTCCCATCGAAAATAAAGTTGTGCTCTGCCTAATGAATGCAAAAGTTAGTCTTTCATGTTCATTGCCACCCAAAAGGGCACTTGGCCAAGAAACTATGAGCGCTTAATGATGGGATATAGTTTTTCTCCCTTTTTCCTAGTCACTTCGTTTTCATTTTTATTCCGCTCAACAGTGAATACCTCAGTTCTCTCCATCTCCCGGAGGGTTGAGGGTTGATTGACAACTCTATTGTATCTATTATAAGCAGCTCTGCAACAAACCTTTCCAGTGGGTATCCAACCATAGCGTAAAGAGGGATCAGTACTCTGGCAGAACGCGCATTGCTGATGCACAGACGGATTGAGAGGCTATCTCACCTAAGGGGTCCCCATGACGAAGGCGGTGATAGGCGCAATGCACACATTGCGTGTGTGTGTTATTTAAAGGCTTAAAATAGGAGCCGGTGCAAACAGCTAGCACTTACGCCGCCATGTGGACTTATTTCCCATGTATCGTTCAGACAGCTGTGACATGACAGTAGACAGCACATCTCTATCCTTACCACGAGACGAGGATCACAAGCCACCAAGGCGACTGCGCCCCCCTGACAATAAGAAACACAATTTTTAAAAATGTAACAATTAATTTGTGAAACTACTGGTAAAGTTTATTGCCTACAGTAGCTCTGCGTCAAAAAAAAAAAACACCGATAGCACTGTGATGAGAAGATGAAAAAAACAGCTATTTGAAGCCGACACAACCAAGGCCTTTTCCCTTTGATGCACGCGCCTTCCCACCAATTACACCAACAACTTTCGGTGTTAGGATTCAGCGGAGCGGCAATTCATGCGACAGTTTACTCAACTCCCCTTGCATTGAATACACAATTCGACAATTTCCGGGGCGGATAATGGCATCGTTCCCACAATCACTACCTGGTTGGACAGTGTATATACTCCTTTTTTTGCGCCTAAAGCTGCAAATTCAAGAGTGGCAGTGAATCACCCACCTACACTGCCTTATTGTCACACATCATCCGGCTGGCTGTCATGCAGTGAAGCGCAACAGGACCTGCACGTCCGGTCTCAATAAAGCCTGTTTTCTTCCTCACTTCATTCCTTTGCTAAACTCCTAATTACGGTGTTTGTGCCTAAGCCAGTTTTTGGACGGAAGAAATGCTAATTTCGCACTGTTTGCCAACTCTGACAATCTCATTATGAAAAGAAAAGTTATTAGTATTTGGTCCCGTCACTTGTCAATTATCATCAAGACTGCATTTCGTACCTCCACTATGCAAATTCTCTTGATGTAATGTGGTATGTCCTAGTTTGACATGGAACTACCTTGCATCATCAGTCGGGGGAGAGGCAAATTCTGGTAATGGAGAAGAGAAACCCGACGGTAAAACTCGATTTTTGAACCACGTTTATTGAATAACATTGCGATTTGGTGAGTTGAAACGGGACCGAAATGTCAAGGAAGTAGCCTGTCACACCTTCCACGTTGTGGCGTGTCCCACATTCCACCATTGGGATGCAGAAGCAAGAAGTTGGCTGAATAAACTCTTGAGAACTAAATGACCGCACTCTTCAGTCCCAACCAAATACCCTACGGATGTAAGACGTCCCAAAGTAGAAGGATCATTCAAAGCACTGTGGACATTCTGTCTTCTCTGTCCGCGTAAAGGAAAGTCTTCAGATGAAAAACGACGACTGACCAACAAATGAGGCTTAAGAAGAGAGGATAAAGAAGGCAAAAGGAACACGTAGATTACCTTAATTGTGGTCCAATACTTTATGCCACAACTCTGTCACTCCATGCTTTGGCTGAGAGGACTGTGAGTGAATGCAGCTGCGACTCTCAAATAGCCTTCACAATCTCACAACTCCCAATCCTTTGGGAGGAAATCGTGGACAACGAATGGGCAGAGCAGCGCGGCAAGCTTAATAACTTACAGTGCTTTAAGACACTGCATTAAAAGGGTGATGGCGCTTCGACAAAAATTTATGACCGGCAGCACGCAATCACTCACAATGCGGTTGTAAGCCCAACTACTTAACACAAAATTAAATGTAAAAACTTCTTGTCCCGAAATGACCGCAGGCTTAGTTGCCTTTCCATAGGCAATCCTCCAACGCGACAGCATATCGACAAACGTAAGGACAAAACTCCTAAGTTTCGATAAGTAGACGTCTAAAGTGGTTAAAGATACGATTTTGTGGTCAGAAAAGAATGTGCATGGCTCTCCAAATGTTGCAGAGCAGAAAAAATGTGGCCTCAAATCACAACTGCGCGATTTTTCTACAAGGAAAAAAAACGCGAAGGGTAAAAGGGAGAGATTTTTCGCATGAGATGAGGTATACCCCAACGGGAGATTGCTGGCAGCTAACTGGTGCACGCAAGTGTGTGTGTGTGTGTGTGTGTGTGTGTGGATTTTGCGTCCACTCTGCCTGGGGGAACTGTGTCTGAAATTGCCCTGCTGACTCACAACCGGCAAAGTTCGTAGAGTGGCGCAGTCCAGTTTGGGACATACCTTCACTCCACTTAGAGTGCAGAATGAAATCAGCCCTAAGGAATGGCGTTAGGTGAACCTCTGAATGGTGCCTCCACGTTAATTTGCTACTCACGACAAGTAGCTTTGTAGAAATTAGAGGACAATCAAAAATTTCGCCTCTGCCATACGAGGGGTTCGACATTATAAGCGTCAGTCAAGCTTACAACTTAGCTGTCCGAAACCTTACATTAATCTCGAAAAAAAAATACAGGTCTGTTCTAATGAAACAGCTGAAAGGAACTTTGTACGCCAACGAATCAAACGCTCATGGCACCGTTGAAAGCCGATCTTGTGGAAGAGCGCATTTTGGCTAAGGCACGCGCATGCCGTCTTGATCGCCTTTGCGGTGATCCGTCAAAGAGAACCTCCCTCTTAGTGTTGCTTCTCAAGCTGTTAGTGGAGATTTAACAAATTTATTTTTATTTGATAAGAAATAGGCGTGAATTTGACACCTGATGCAATTCCTTTATTTGCAAACCGTGCTGCTGTTGTCAGTCCAGTTGTCAAAAAGTTGGTATATACAAGTATCTCTAAAAACC